CCCCGAAATCTGGGTTAGCCCACTTGTCCTTATAAGCAACCAATTGTAAGACTTGACGTTTAAGCACTTGCGTGATGTAGTCCAAAAAACCCAAGCCATCCGGTGATTCTCACCAGGGCGTTTTTTGTTCACTCCACCCTAGACCTCCAAAAACTACGTCAGTTTCTAAGCCTCTGTTCCTCACTGACAGATGATTATGTCCAACACAGTCTATCTGCAAAAACGATTTCATGATCTTCACGAAACCAATAGCTTCTAAAAAAAAAACAATTATGCACATGTTAAGTTAAGTACTGGTTTTGCGGGGTACAGTGCTGTCTTTTCCAATCTCTTTAAAAAATATCATCAGAAGATGCTGTTCATTGCAAAGACAATGATATTTACTTTTCCTTTGATGTTCAATGCTGGTCCATTCCACCAATGTTGACCACGAATGTCGATGCACCTCAAATATACCGGCGTTTCTTTGATTTTGCACTTTGACAAGCCTGGGTTTTTTAAGGTCAATTTTGAGTGACACATTATGATTTTAAAAAATTTTTAGCTTTAAATTGGTATGCTGCATGATTGGGTAGTGCAAGGCTATAACACGATGATTAAGTGATTGCATTTTCAAGTTTCCTTCGGACACCACTGGATGCCCACCCATCTTCGTGTCTCTCTCAGTCTGTTTGCAAGTTTGTTTGTGTGTGTGTGTATGTGTATGTGTGTGTGTGTGTTTGTGTGTGTACATGTGTGTATGTGTATGCGTGCTTATGTGTGAGTTCGGTGCCTTCGTATTTCTCCACTGTAAGTAAATCAATACGTTTTAAGAACAACTAGCTGGGCCCCCTTTCGATGAAAGGAATGATCGGTGCATTAACATCAACTGAAAGTGAAAGTCATTGGCCTATTATCTTTACACTCTACTGGAATGGAGCAATACAACTTGAGAGATGCTAAAAATTAGAAGGTCTAGATCTAGATCTATACTCTCAAAACAAATGCACCTCGCATAATATCACTTCCGCACCGTATTTTATAAAATTACAGAGACAGAAAAGCGATCAGCGAAATATAGAAATTTAGCTTTTTGCTGCAAAACTGTTTCAAAACTGAAAAAACGAAGGGCGTCATGATCTGGAGAATATTTTAAAGAACCTTTTGGCGAAAACCGCACGTCGATCGATGAAAGGAATGATTGGTGCTTTAATATCAACTAAAAGTCATTGGCCTAGTATATTTACACTCTACTGGAATGGGGCAATAAATCTTGAGAGATGCAAAAATGATAAGATCTAGATCTAGATCTATATTCTCAAAACAAAATGCGCCTCGCGAAATA